CCTCCAGCCAAATTCATCGTCACCATGCCAGCTCAGAGAAATTGTACATCACAAACCTGTCAGCATTGAGAAATATCTCACTTCCTGCCTCAGGACCTTGTCTTTGTAATTCTTAGCTGCCTGATAATGAGGGTTCTGCCTTAGAATTTAAGAATTATGAACGTTTGGGAAATATCCTGCAGGCATTAACAACACAGAATGCTGCTGTAAACAACACACCAACAAGAGACTGAACATTATCTTGGGAACAAAGTTTAACTCGAATATAGATGGCTATTAAATTCACAAGAAAATCAATCGATTATGAAAAGTTTCATTTTTGATTCTCTGAGTTAACTGATCTCAACAGTTGAGGCATGATCACCATGGGTTACTCAAGTTTATGTTTAAAAATTATTGGTAAAACGTATTGGGACTATTGCAGAATCATTTAAGAGACATCAGTCCTTCCCCTTCATGCTGATATAATGTCAAAGCAAAAGAACATGATGGAAGGAAATTGACTGACATTTAGAAGATTTGATCTGATTTGTAAAATGTTCACATTGGTGTTTTGTCTGGCGACCTATATCTACAGCAGAAGGGAGTTTGTGTGTTTTCGTTCACTTTGACTACCTCCCTGGCTTCTAGGCCGTGTCTTGTCCTTCAGCAGAGATGATGAGAGAGGAAAGCTCACCTCTACATGTCCTGGCACCAGGTGCAACACCTTCCTTCAAATTATTTGATAAAACAATGTTTGGTTCATCCTAAAAATAGAATGGTCATTAAGGTCACTTTGCAAATCACGGAGTTTGGTTAGGAACAACAACTTGAAGTTCCTTTTAACTTGTTCCAAGTTATTCATTCCCGTTGTGGGTCCACATTTTGCTTTCCTGGAGAGGCCTTTGTGGGCTCCAATGATTCTTAGAATTCGTGAAATTAGTTGCAATCAACTGGACATGGCATCTGGTCAGCCAAAAAGCATCTCCCTCACCAGCAATTTCTCAAACCTCAAATGGCCAGCGTTCCAGAGGAGGACAAAGAAAATGATACAAAGACTCTCTGAAATTTTCCTTGTATTGTGGCAACATTGACTTTAAAGACTAGTAGGAGGTTACTATGAATCATTCTTAAAAGTGACAACACACCCCCCAGGCTGCCTTTATGGAGAGTAGCAGCTAAAAATGCTTCCCTCCAAATCATAGAATCCCTACAGTGCAGATAGAGGCCATTCAGCCCATCAAGTCACCACCCAGACCCACATTTACCATGGCCAATCTATCTAACCTGCACATCTTTGGTCTCTGGGAGGAAACTGGAACACCCAGAGGAACCCCTCACAGACACGGGTGAACATGCAAACTCCACACAGAGAATTGCCCAAGGCTGGGATTGAACCTGGGTCCCTGCCACTGAGCCACCATGCTGCCCTTTTGCTGTGGGTCTTAATGACCATACCTACAGGTCAGTGTTTGTCCCAGTCGTGGTCTTGAAGGTGAGTTTGGCATGGTGCAGTCTCAAAGCTCTATCATGGTCATCACTACACTGACAGGGACTGGGGTCAGCTAATAGGGTCAGTCTGAACACCTTTCTGGCACAATTCCAAGGTGATATGATGTATGGCCTAATGCAGTGACAAGCAGATTCTGACATTTATTTCTTCAAACAATGTTGATTGGAGCAGAGTTTACTCACAACAAATTGTTTGCGCTGAACTAGTTATAAAAACAGATCAGAATAGCAACAATTCAGTGTTGTACTTAATAATTCTTAAAAACACTTGGGACAAGGCCATAGCTAGTAACACACTGTGTGCCTGTTCTAAGAACACCATAACGTAAACAATCCTATCACATGACTTTTAAAGAAATAGATTATTTCTATTTTAACAACAAATTCTTCGGCTACACAGATCAGGTACTGAAATAGACACAGTTCTCCAACATCTAGGGATAACTTTTCCGTTATTGAAAATTGCATTGATCTTTTATCATTGAAGAAGCTTCTCTCCCAGTTACCTGGTGATAACAAGATGAATCATTGATTTGGAATGTGATCACTCGGAAAAACAGAACAGTTTATCTTAAAGCCAATTTCAAAAGTGAAAATAAATTCCAAAGCCTGGCTTAACAATCACCTATCGATATGAGTAAGAGGTTAATCAGGGGTTAATCAATGATTGCAGCATTTCATGGAGGCAGCTCACCACCACCCCATATGGTAATCAGGGAATCAGTAATAAATGCATGGCCCAGCTGGTGATGCCCTCATCCCATGAAAGAAAGCAGAAATATAATCTGCATACATCCATGGTATTTTCTCCTATGTAGTTTTCTCCTCATCTTTCTTGAAGACTTCAAGTGCATTTTACAGTAATCCTTCAGTTGACACAAGTAGCCATTCTTCATGTGTGAGTCTTTATTGTGTTTGGCTGAAGGCAATTCAATCTTGAAGCCATCAAACTTGTGTGTAATCCTGTTCTCCATTCAAATACACACTGACGCAGCGCATTGATTTGATCTATTCCAGACTCTTAGCAATATAGATACAAATGAGCTTTACCTCCAATTCACCAAAAACAAAAATAAAGACTGTCACTTCATCTGGGCCCCTACCAACTCACCTTGATCTGTCCTCTCTCAGTCCCTTCAAGCCACTTTAACTACTTATATTTCACAGACATATGTTACTGAAATGATTTGTGTATATTCCAATAAGCAGAGAGAACCTAAGTTTTTCTGTTCTAAACATTAGCACTTCAAGGAGCAGTTTAACTGGAACTGCAGTCCTTAAGAGAGACTAAGGAATTACAGTCTGAGATCAGTGAAGTATGTGAATTATTAACAGTCATAGATTCTGTCTCTCACAGCCATGTTCCCAAATTTGCCCTCCAATGTGAGAAGTCCAGTGTTAGAAGGAGTTTGTCAAAGGCTGGTTGCCCTTCCTAATGCTTTCGGACAACAATTAGCATTTAGTCTTTCCATTCTGAAAGGCTATGTCCAATAGGTGACCTTTTAACACACAATAGTGAAAAAAATCCTATAAACACAATTATGTGAATAGGTCAATGAGCCCAAAATGGTATTTTGAATTGGTATCAGGAATCCTTTTCACACAAAGGTCGATCAACGCTCAAATGGTCTCTGGCAGTAGGTGAATTAAGTTGGGCCGAATGGCCTAGCTTCTTTGTAATTGCCCTGTGATCAGGATTCAATCCCACAGATCACCTCTTAGAGAAGGAAACTGCATATTGTTTGCTGCTGCACCTCAGCGATGACAGAAACACAAGGTGCCAACATCAAGGATGTCACCCAGAGCTGGATAGATGGGTTTTGCTCTGGTCATGGTGACTTTTTGTTCGACATGAACATGGCATTGAAATAAACCATGCACCCACCCCAGCCTCTACACCTAACACTCGACAGGAAAGTTCGCCCACTCCTCTAGCCAGGTGTTCATTTCCAAGTGTCAATAAGAATTTGTAAGAACTCCCTGAGGTCAATTTTCTTTCTAACCCTTTATCAATGTAAATTTATCTGTTAATAATTTGATCATGTGTCCCTTTGACTCAGACATGCAACATAATTCAGAGTAATTTTCTGGATTTGCTTTTTCAAACCACTTCGACCTCTTCTGGAAATTCGACAAGATATTTCAAACCGTTGTTTGACCCTGTGGAATCCTGGAACAGAACACCTACTCCCATCTAAAAGTGTGGTAAATTTAAGTTCTTGACCAATAAACAAAGACATCATCTTTACATGAAACATAAAGCTCAGTATGTGTTAACTGTACTCCAAAAAGACCGGTAGGTGGATCTACAGCAAAGGACTACATTTGTCCCATATGAAAGCATCTCCTGCTGAACCTGTATTTCACACTTTTCACAAGGGCGGCTATTTACCTCCCCCATATCTTCCCCTTTATATGGTACTGACAGTCTGGCCATCAGCCAAGTTTCTGTAGCCTAATCCAATGTCCACTCATCCTGGGTGAGCTTTGAGAGTTGGCACCAACAAGCTATTAATCTGTGTGATGCCTCATAGCCAAGCTGAATCCCGTGCTTGTGTGATGCAAACATACATATACTTTCCAACACTTAGACCAGATGGCCAGAACCTGGTCTCTCTGATCCTGGCCCTACTCTGACTGAGATCAGTCAAACTCAACACAGACTGAGGATTGGAACAAAGACTTCCTTGGGCTGTTCTACCATACCCAGTGATCCATTGGAAAAACTCACATTTGCACTACTAATGATCAGCTATCTCCTACTTGTTTCATACAGCACATGCTTTCCACACTGAATGTGGTAAAGACAAAACAAATACCCATCCTTAGGACAGCTGTCCACATTGGAGGCATGTCAAATTGCATTTATTGTCAAAGGGATTAGACTACTCATGTAGGAGAGCAGGAATAGAATGTGACCCACATCTATGGATTTGATGCAATATCGTAGAGGGAAATACAGGAGATAATGAAGTTTTTCTGGTTACATTCGGTTTATAACCTCAGACAAGCTCTCTGTTTTTGGTTTTGGCAAGTGCAGGGCTATCACTCGTGTATAAACTCATAAAGGAAAAATAATACTGTGCTATAAGAATAAAGCAAAGGAGTAGGTCTAATTGCATAACTCCTTCAAAGTGCCTGACTGGCCTCCTGTGCTGGAGTATTCTGTAAACCAATGCCACTTAAGTCTTTATTGCACCTTTCTTTTGATTTATAAGATCTATAAACTCAGGCACTTTTGAATAGACCAAGTTAAACTTAAGCAGTTAAGTTACACTAAGACAAAGTTTAAGCCTGCATATAATTTATTCTGATCAATACAAAAGGCAGAAGACCATTAAAAAAATTGCAACGTGCAGTGAAAAGTAATCCAGCAGGTTTTGCCAGTTAATACTCTGTCCTTCCTAATTTATTACATTTAAAATCACTTCAGGCCCTTGCTATATTGAGCTGCTTTAATACAGTTTATCTGCTTTTCATGAATGGATGTTGATAGACATCAGACTTACCTCCACTCAGCACCTTTCTCCTTGTGAAAAAAAAGTAAAAGAGTTCTTTGTATCCACCGTCGGATTGCTTGGCTGAGGACTGTGTCTGGTACGGCTCCACAATACACCTTGTACTGATGTTTCCTGTCTGGTTATAGCAGCTGAAGGCAGTGGCTGAATTTATAATCACACATTGTTTACCTGTACAAACACAATAGGCTTGCATCAGTTGACTTTTTGTGTATCCCAGCCAGTGATTAACTCTTCAATACATTTTTTGCTTAATTCAAGGAAGCAAGTTGAGACTGAAAACTATTTTGCCTCTTTGATGGGGTTGGGGATCGGGGTAATGAGAGGACCTCCCTCTGGGTCTGCCCTTGGGTAAAGATAGCCATCTAAAGGTTCGGAGTGGACATGATCCTTGGGGGTGGTCCCTCTGGCTAGAGTGGTAATGCCAACACCTCAGTCTGGTTGTAGAGGGGGTGCATGCCGTGTCTGGCTGCATACCTGAGATTTTCCCCAAACAACAGATTCAACAGGAACTGGACTGTGCTGTGGGGATGGGAAATACTATTACTTTCAAATAACATTACTATTGACTAATATTATTCTTAATTAATATTTCTATTTTGAAATGAAATGTTTGTATTTATAAGATTCTTTCCATGAATATTTCCATGTTCAGTCAGCAGTCAGGAAGGCAAACACAATGCTTGCATTCATTTCAAGAGAGCTACAATACAAGAGCTGAGGCTGTATAAGGTTCAAGTCAGATCTCATTTGGAATATTATAAGCAGTTTTGTGTCCTTTATCTAAGGAAGGATGTGTTGACATTCGAAGTAGTTCAGAGGAGGTTTAGAAGAATGATCCTGAGATGAAGGGCTTGTCATATGACAACTGGTTGAGGACTCTGGGTCTGTACTCAATGGAGATTAGAAGGATGAGGGGGAATCTGATTGAAATTTACAGAATATTGAGAGATCTGGATAGAGTGGACATGGAGAAGATGTTTCCATTTGTAGGAGACATTAGGACGCGAGCAGTGAAGGGATGACCCTTTAGAACTGAGATGAGGAGAAATTTCTTCAGCCAATCTGTGGAAATCATTGCCACAAAGGGCTGTGGTGGTCAAGTCATTAAGTATATTTAAGATAGAGTTAGATATGTTCTTGATTAATAAGGGGATCAAGGGTTTCTGGGAGAAGGTAGGAGTCATAGAGTTGTACAGTATGGAAACAGACCCTTCAGTCCAACTTGTCCATGCCAACCAGATATCCTAAATTCATCTGGTCCCATTTGCCAGCATTTGGCCCATACCCCTTTAAACCCTTCCTATTCAAGTACCCATCCAGGTGCCTTTTAGATGTTGTAATTGTACCAGCCTCCACCACTTCCTTTGGCAGCTCATTCCAAACATACGCCACCCTCTGTGTGAAAAATTTGCCTCTTAGGATGCTTTTATATATTTCCCCTCTTACCTTAAAGCTATGTCCTCTATTTTGGACTCCCCTATCTTAGGAAAAAGACCTTGGCTATTCACCCTCTCCATGCTCCTCATGATTTTATAAACCTCTATGAAGTCACCCTCAACCTCTGACGGCTCCAGAGAAAATAGCAACAGCCTATTCAACCTCTCCCTATAGCTCAAACTCTCCACCCTGGCAATATCCTTGTAAATCTTTTCTGCACCCTTTCAAGTTTAACGACATCTTCCCTTTGGCAGGGAGACCAGAACTGAATGCAATATTCCAAAAATGGCCTAACCAACGTCCTGTACAGCCGCAACATGACATCCCAACATGTATACTCAATGAACTGACCAACAAAGGCAAGTGTACTAAACACCTTCTTCACTACCCTGTCTACTTGTGACTCTACCTTCAAGGTACTATGAACCTACACCACACGGTCTCTTTGTTCCATTTTAAAAACACATCAGCCATGATCAAATGGCAGAGCAGACTCAATAGGCCAAATGGCCTAATTCTGCTTCTATATCTTATGGTCTTATGATAACCAGGCATATCAAAGTGTTTTATGGTAAATAAAATTGCGACATGGTGGATCAGTGGTTAGTACTGCTGCCTTGCGAAGCAGGTACCTGCATTCAATTCCAGCCTTGGGCAATTGTATAAGTGGAGTTTGTGCATTCTCCCTGTGTCTGCATGGGTTTCCTCCCACAGTCCAAAAATGAGCCGGTTTGATGGATCAATCATGCTACATTGCCCATGATGTGCAGGCTAGGTGGATTAGCCATGGGAAATGCAGGGTTGCCGGGACGGAGTAGGTCTGGATGGGATGCACTTTGGAGGATCAGTGTGGTCTTGATGGGCCAAATGGCCTGCTTCCACTCTGTAGGGATTCTATGAAAGTACTTTTTGATGTGTAGTCACTGTTGTAAAGCGGGAAATGTTAGTCCTTTATTTGTTGTATCCCTCTGAAAGAGTTACACTCATGCTTTTCTAATCTCACTGGGACAACCCGGAGTCTCCTTATCAAATTACGTATGAGAAGCATAGATGGTGCATGAATAGAAATGGACTGAATTTAGAGAACTGGCAATTCATGCAGAGAGGGGAGATTGAAATAGCACCAAGAAATGGATACATGGGGACAATTCCTTTTAAATGAAGAGGATTGAAAGAGCAGATTGTTGTAAAGTATCTAGCTTGAAAGGAATGGGAGAGGAAGTGATTAAAACTGTAAAGAGATAGTTAATTGCAATCTAAGTAGGGGCCTTTAAACACCTAGAGAGCATAGGAATAAAGAGTTCAGAAAGGAGTTCCACAATTTACACTCTTCATGGATAGAATAGATTAGGAAGAAAACTGGGAGGGAGGTGCTTCGCTGGTTCTTGATGAGCAGAAACTGGGTGCAAGAATCTTAAAGTTATTGCAGGTAATTTCACTCCCAATCAGCTTGACCAAGCATCACTCAGCAGCTGGAGAACCTGGTAGTTTAGGTCACTGGGGCTTTGATTGATATGGAAATCTGGGTTCTGTGACGTAGATAGGATCCCGATCGTCATGTGGGAGTTGAGTAGCACTGTGTAAGCTACTGTCAAAAAGGACAAGACCACAGACAACACAGTGTGGAGCTGGATGATCACAGCATCAGAGGAGCAGGAAAGTTGACGTTTTGGGTAGGGACCCTTCCTCAGAAATGGGGAGGGGCACTGGAGCTGGGAAATAAATAGAGAGAGGAGGGATGGGGCTGGGGAAGGTAGGTGGGATGGTGATAGGTGGATACAGGTAGGGAGTTGTGTGAATTGGTCAGTGAGATGGGTGGGGTGGATAGGTGGGAGAGAGGATGGACAGGTTGCATCAGGTCAAGGAATCGGGAGGGAGGATGAGTGGGGCTGGGGAAAGGTAGGTGGGATGGTGACAGGTTGGATGCAGGTAGGGGCTAGTGGGGATTGGTTGGCGGGAAGGGTAGAGTGGATAGGTGGGGAAGAAGATGGACAGGTTGTGTCAGGTCAAGGCGGCAGGATTGAGAGGGAGAGTTGGACATGGGATGAGGTTGGGAGTGAGGAGATTTTAAAACTAGTGAATTCTCTGTTAGGGCCATCGGGCTGTAGGCCCCTGAGGCAGGATATGAGGTGTTGCTCCTCCAGTTTGCGGATGGTGACATTGTGGCACTGGAGAAGTCCGAGGATGGACATGTCATCAAGGGAGTGGGAGGGGGAGTTAAAATGGTTGGCGACCAGAAGGTGTGGTCGTTTGTCGCATACAGAGCGCAGGTGCTCTACAAAATGGACCCCAAGTCTATGTTTGGTCTCATCGATTTAGAGGAGGCCACTTCGGGAGTGACGGATACAGTAGACCAAGTTGGAGTATGTACAGGTCGTATATGAAAGCTTTGCTCTGGGCCTTGAATGGAGGTGAAGAAGGAGGTGTAGGGGCAGGTATAGCACTTCCTGCGGTTGCAGGGAATGGTGCCGGGTGTTGTGGGGTTAGTGGGAGTGTGGAGCGGATGAGGGAGTCGTGGAGTGAGCAATCCCTATGGAAGGTAGATAGGTGTGGGGAGGGAAATATCTCTTCAGTCTTGGGGTTGGATTGTAGGTGGCGAAAGTGCTGGAGAATGGTTTGTTGGATGCGGAGGTTGGTGGGTGGTGTGTGAATTACTTTAATGGATCCAAAAGGAGTTGGATTGCTGTGCAAGAATTATAATTCTTCTTCTTACTCTACATTCAAAAGCCTCAACCCTAACCCCTTGGCAACATACTTTGCTATTGACCAGCAATAATTAGAATCCACCCAAGTAGAATGAGTCATGGCTGGAATTTTCAATTTTCTCAATTTATAGGGCTTAATTTTCTGGTACATCTTCCTCATGACTCTTTCAGTTCCTTGCCATTAGCTGTATTGCTGTTGATGAGATTGGAACAGTTTGCTAATATACTGTTCATATTGTAACATATTTTCCCTCTGGGGTTGTATAAAAATTGTATTGACATTTGATGTGTGCCAAATCTCAGGGGTTAATTCCACAATTTCAATGAAACCATGCAAAATGCTTTAGACAGCTTTGTAATTTAAACTATCAATTTAGCCAATATGTGACATAAGACATGCAGGCTTATTGTGGTGAAAATAATACCAGTCTCTCCGGCTCTTCTCCCTCTTGGACAAATACATTTCATTCAAGGTGTTGCAACTTTTAACATTCTGACTGGACCGATTTGCTATCTGAGTTGGAATGTGAATCTTGCACATTCCGCTGAGATTAAAATCCAACTTGTCATGATGCAAGAAGTGGACAAGAAAGAGACCAATTTTTATCTCAATGAATGGATGAGAAGTTTTGTACAGAATGGGATGAAAATAAGTGGCAGAGGAGTTGAGGGAGAGTTCTTGTAACTCTGCCCAAAGCCATTCAGAAATTTACACCATGAATTTTGTTTGAGGTTTTAGAAAATGCTTAGCTGATTGACAATGTTATTGAACATAAGTTCCAATACCCCAGAGTTTGGAGTCCAATGACTTTTATTCTTTCATGGGTCTTGGGCATCACTGGCTAATTATATATGCTTATTCTTAAATAATCTTTAGAAGGTCGTGGTAAGCCACCTTCTTGAACCTCTGCTGTCCATGTATATTAATTATACCTGAAGTGCTGTT